GGTGACCCACAGAGGTCCCTTCCAACCCCTGACATTCTGTGATTCTGTGAAGTGCTGTCCTGTAGTCGGAGCTGGCCTGCCCGATGCTGCCGGTGACGATGCCTCTGTCCCTGGGTCTGTGGAAACCAGCTGCTGATCTGAGTGCGCTGGCCCCACTGCTGTTTGCCCAACTGCGCTAAGGAGTTTTCGGCATGGGAGCGAGAACACTTCTGTCTGCCCTGCAGAAAGCGGGGATAAATGAGAGGTCTGTGTTTACCCCCTTCTCGCCTCGTCATCCTGCCTGCCGGGCAGCCAGGCGTGAGGATGGAGTGCCCAGCCAAAGTGGAACAAAAAGTTAAACAAAACTTACTGTGAATGCTGTTTCCATCATGCATACTGTCGTGTGGCTGCATCCTCATATCGAAACTAAAGTGGAAGAGCAGCACTCCGTGCTACTATACATTATGCTTTGCATTTGATTGGTGTCTTCAGATTGTTCCAAAATGAGTCAAGGTGAGAACAGCCTATGGTACGTCATACCTCACATTTTAGATGTATCTGTTACATACACTATGCGCAGCAACTCATACTATAAAACTCATACCCTCTCTTCCAAAGCAAAGAAGGAGATGCTGAACGTGAGTGCTGTGCAAGATTCAAGGTTGGCTACATCTCTTCAAAAACCAAAGCTGTAACCCCACCAGAAGTTTGTGGTCGGATGCAAATATTGCTGGCTGTGTAGTTTTACGTGCAGGTTATACTGGGTGAGCAGAGCACTCTAGTTTTCCAGCCTCAGCACCTGATCATGCTTAAATTTCTTCAGGGGCTCACTGTCAAAAAAAGAGTGAACTCTTCAGAGACCATCAACTCCTCTTCTGCAGACCAGCACATTCTGCTGCGTGTGCGTGCGCACATGTGTGTAAATGCCTGAACACACGTGAACAATTTTATTTGAAGAAGGAGGTGTAAATTACCCCATCGGCCACTCTTTGTTCTACTTCATTTTCCTGCGTGAGAATAGAAAGGAGCAGGAGTGGATTTTGTCTGCAGTCCAGATGGTTATCAGCCCGTGCCCTGGAGCAGGAGAATTGATCGCTCTCACCATTTATAAGGTAGCTAGTGTAACACACATGTTAGAAACAGGGCTTCAGATGAGGAATAAGCAACAGAAGTAGATAATCTATTAAGACAGCGGCGTGCCAGCCTGCAGCATTAGAAAGGTGAGCATGTATTTTGCTCCCTGTTTAATGCACATGAAGCTGTCAGATTATAAACAGGTCTATAAATTAGTGTATTTTACTCTGCTGGAGGTGGTGTTTGGAAGCTGACGGGAGATAGACTAGAGAATACACTGGATCTCACAGAGCAGTCCTCTGATGGTTTACATGCCTTGGTCTAACCTGCTTTCAGCTATTCAGAAGTTCTTGTTATTTGTTTTTACGCTACGCAGAGAGGGAGACCGAGGTTGGGAATGCTTGCCAGATTTCAGCTGGTGGAGCAGTGGCAGAGATGGGACCAGAGCTGGGTCTGACTCCCCGGTCAAAATTCACCCTCTGAAGTCCGTGACGACGCTGGCCACTGAGAGGGCAGAGTGGGGGAAAGGCAGCATCCCCTGTGCCAGCTCCGCACCTGCTGAAAGCAGCAAAGCCTTCCCACCGATTTCAACGGTCGGTTCAG